GGGGAGCTCTAAATTTTTTATGTAACCCCTCAAAATGGCATATGAAATAAATAAATTCGATTTCTCATTCCAATTAATTTGGCTCGCAGGTTTAGACGAAAAATGTTACTCCCTCCTATTTTTAATAAGTATCATTTTGAGAAGTTATACAGTAATAATGAATATTTGTTTTTGCCAATAATAACCCTCATTAACGAGGATAAGAATAAATGTTCTGAGAAAATATGAAAAGTGAACATGAAAAAATATGGTGTATTTATTGGTTAGATAAGGGTAATAATGGAAAAATATGTACAAAATATCCAAAACGACATTTATTAAGTTAATTGTTGATAAAACCAAAATGACATTTAAAAAAAAAAGAGATAGTAGATATTAAAATGGCAAAATGCAATTTCCACTTGGTTTAGAGTTCTAGTTAATTAACCAATTTAAAAATGGGGGACATATACATAATACGGTTTTTTATATATTTGTTGCTATAACGAATTTAATTAATATATTATAGCTCCATATAATCGTGCAAGCACAGCCTGTTGCCCTGAAGAATCGCAGCAGCAAACTATCCACATGAAAATTGAAAACTAAGCTGCCACAGTTTGGCTCAACTGCTATAACGAGCTCCCATATAACAGGTTTCTTATTGAACTTAGGGTTTGATAAACCAGAGAGAGAAAGAGAAAGAGACTTGTATTGAACTTAGAAATCTGAGAATAAAAGTGAAGTGCTACAGTAGGGAAGTCATATTTATACTGTTGCTAAATGAACTAAAAGTGCTAAAAGATAAAATAACAACTAATACAAGGTTATCAAATAGCAACTAATACACATCATCTAATACCCCCCCGCAAGCTCAGCATGGATGTTTTGCATGTTGAGCTTGGACAGCAAATGAGAGAAAATTTGAGGAGAAACTGGCTTGGTGAAGAGATCTGCTACTTGCTCCTTGCTTTGTATATGTTGAAGAGTGATTGTGCCAGCAGCTATCTTCTCTCTTATAAGGTGGCAATCCAATTGGATGTGTTTAGTTCTTTCATGAAAAACAGGATTATTTGCAATAGCAATGGCTGAGCTACTATCTGAAAAAATTGTAACAGGAGTTGTGTGAGGTAAATTCAGATCAGACATTAAATACAATAACCATTGCACCTCACAAGAAGTTGTGGCTAAGGCCCTATACTCTGCTTCTGCAGAGGACCTACTAATGGTATTTTGTTTCTTTGATTTCCAAGAAATAAGGGATTTTCCCAAGTAAACTGAATATCCTGTTATACTTTTTCTAGTATCCAAGCAACTTGCCCAATCACTATCACTATAAGCTGAAAGCTGTAAAGAGGAGTCTCTAGGAAAGAAAATACCTTGGCCCACTGTTCCTTTGACATACCTGAGAATCCTGTGTGCAGCAGCAAGGTGTTGTGTAGTTGGTTGTGACATAAATTGACTAAGTGCTTGAACACTATAACTGATATCAGGTCTGGAGATTGTTAAATAGAGTAATCTACCAACAAGTCTCCTATACTCAGTGGCATCAATGAAATCAAAAGAATCAGAAGCATTTGTAAGTTTTAAAGAGGAACTCATGGGGGTGGGGGCAGGTTTGCATGCAAGAAATCCTGTGTCTTTAAGTATGTCTAAGGCATACTTTCTCTGACACATGTTTATACCTTTAGATGAATGGGCAAACTCTAATCCCAAAATATATTTGAGTTCACCAAGGTCTTTGATGGTAAAGCAGTTATGAAGATGCTGTTTTATATGATTAATAGCAGATAAATCATTACCACAGAGTATAACATCATCAACATAAACCAGCAATGCTAAAAATGATGAATTTTCTGAATTAAAAAGAGTGAACAGAGAGCAGTCAGCAATTGATTGTTTAAAACCATAATCAAGCAAGCAATTGGTTAATTTTTGGAACCATTGTCTTGATGCCTGTTTGAGGCCATATAAACTCTTATTAAGCTTACACACTCTCTTATCTGAAGGTAAACAGTAGCCAGGAGGAGGTTTCATATAAACCTCCTCATCTAG